ATTTGCATATCTTGTCTGTGACGATCTATATGACGCTGACTGTACATATGTAAATTGGAAATCGAAAAACACATTGGTACACGGCGGGATTCGAACCCAGGATCTACAGATTGCAAGTGCTTGACTCCTGAGCCACCGACGCGACACGGTTTACCAATGAACAAATATCGTGATCGCCAAAGTTTTTGCGACATATTACCATTGAAATTAAAAGCGTAAGTAATAGTTAGAGTGTCCATTGAATTCGTCGGAAAAAATAAAGATTTCTTTTCCGACGATATTCTCATCCTTTATGTACTATGTTTTTGGGAATACAGAAAAACTAATAGCAAATATATGTCATGACTGCCGTGTTATTCTTTTAAAATTTTAATTGTTATATGATCCTGACTTCTGTTCCACACAATACGAGTTTCTTGGATTGCAAGCAACTTTAAAACATAATTTTTAACGCAACGTAGCGACACAAAACATTAACGTATATCTTGAAACGTTTCACCAAGAGTTTTGTCTCATAAATATCTATCGAAGTTGGAATAATATCGTATTGTGTATCCGAGTTAAGTTGTTTAACTAAATTACGATCTCTTATGTGTAAATGAGAATCGCTTTTATAAATACACGATCGGGGAACTAACGCGCTCTTTGTAATGGTGGGTAGCCAGCGGTGGTATTTCCAAATAGAATATTGAATAGAATAAGAATTAATAATGATAAAAATATAATATTTTGACTGTATTACCAACCTTTAACAGTAGTCTGCAGCGGCATAAGCCTATGCCGCTTTCCGCGGTTCAATACCACGACCAAACAGAAGACAGGCGTGTAGGGGATGTAATAACACGTTTCGTCTGATGAATGTGGTAACCATAGTTTAATTGTAGTCAGCTTTCCACTCTTGTTTAATTATTTCGCTCTTTATAATTAGTTGGATTTGGCACAGGATGGATAGAGTTCCTAATAATGCGTAAGAAAGTTCTAGTAATTTTATAGAAGTTGATAGCAGTTATCCATAAAGCGCGGTAGTAACGACTGCTGCCGAGATTTGTTCTAACAAGCGTATGTAACAAGATGTGTCGTTATACAGATAAGGGTAATGGGGTAATCGTGTGGCCGTGTGCCGGGGGCAGGGGAGGGGTACAGGGACCACCGACGGAGACGTCCATGATTTAACTCACTCGATATGTAAACTGCGATGTGCAAATGAAAGCTATCTGCATGGATGTTAGAGTAACTTCTGTGTGCTTGGTATGGTCCAGTAAAATATTTCACCTTATTCTTACTAAATGCGAATGTTTGGATGGATAGAAAGTATCTACAGAAAGGCTGCATGGATCTCGCTGAAATTTGTCATAGAACATAGTCAGGAAGAACACATTGGCTACTGATTAACTTTTTTTTTTAATTCAGCGCGGACGGGATAGCGGGCAACAGCTAGTTTAGTTATAATTATAAATCCTTTACCTGGATTTAACTGTGACATTTATCACATTATATTCTGCCAAAGTTTTGGATTTTTTTTCATTTTTCTTCTATATCTTCTTTATATATATAATTCTTCTGTGAGTGTGTATGTCACTGAACTTCTCTCAAACGACTGGACCGATTTTGATGAAATTTTTTGTGTGTGTTCAAGGGGATCTGGGAATGGTTTAGATTCACAATTTTGTCCGCTGGACAATGTTTTTTTTAATTAATTTTTAATTTATTAGTAGTTGTTGATTTTGGAATGTTTTACATTGGATCCGACAGACGGCGCTACCATTGCAGTGTCAAATTTTAAATAATATTCGAATTTAAATTTTATTTTTTTATTTTAATAGACAGGACAAAGTCTGTCGGGTCCGCTAGTAATAATATAAAATATTATCATGACAAAGAGTTATAAATATGGCAAGAACATGTCTTGATTTTTCGTGTTAAATACTTCAACAATGCACATTTTGCGAATTTCTATAACGATTCTATCCAGATGATCGTTTGTCAGACACCTATCCTTCTGCGCTACGTCTAATCAGAAAAAAAATTATTAATTTTTTTTTTAAAACTAGCTCTACATCCGTTTAAAGCCAAGCGATACAATTCGATGGCATTAAACCTAACAAAAAACTGTCCATTTCTTATCTGTGACAATTACGTGTTTCATTTTGAAATGTTGGCATCATTGACATCGATCAATTGATTTATCTCTCCAATAATTGATTGGTGTATACATCTCGAAGCGCTAGATTACGAGAAAGAAACATAAGATTGATTTACAACTGATCAGTGCATAGTTTGAATTATATTTGAAAGCTAAATTAGTAAAGAACCGGTTGTAACTAGATTCTTCCTAGAACCTTCTATGTTGGCGACGGCTATAAGGAAATCTTTTTTGTTCTCAGTTCAGTTTCTCACTCAAATAGACCAATTAAGGTTTGTAATAGCAGAGAGTAATATTATCTTGATGGATTATAGCGTCTTTGTAAAATGTTAAATGTCTATCCAACTATCTTTTGTAAAAAATAAATTGATTCTCAAATAGAGTTTTTCGTTTTTAAAACTTAATAATGTTTACAGATTAAAAAACTAAAAGAAATGAAATACAATTTGATTAAAACGTAAGTACCCAGAAGCGCAATTATACTAATATTATAAATGCGAATGTTTGGATGGATGGATGTTTGTTTGCAGGTATCTCGAGAACGACTCTCTTAAATTTGACAGATGTAGAACATAGTCTGGAAGAACACATAGGCTATTAATTAATTTTTTTTTAAATACGCGCGCACGGATGTGCAGGCGACAGCCAGTAAGTAAATAAAATAGACATTTAAAAATCAGTACCAAAATAGAATTTATCTGTTCAGTTCCGGAATCAAAATTAGATTAAACAAACGTCCGTTCGACCCAAGTACATAGCCATTTCCATCGCTTTAGTTTCAAAGAATACAATAACAAATTACACAAACAACTTATCATTTTATCTTTGTCATTCAAGAGCACAGCAGTAAACATACATTGAATATTAATCTATACAGAATCAATAGAACTTCGATTACTTTGAATGCATTCATGAAATGTAGTAGCAAGTTATCGTACAAAATTAATAGAATCACTGGTGGTTCGGAACATTATCATCAGTGTCTGTCAGTTCTGCCCACGCCACATTGGACCTTATATCAGATCCGTGCACGCGATTTCGTATATAAACTATATCAGATGTACAATCGTCTACACAAGCTGCTTGGTACACGCATAAAAATTCAAAGCAACTTTCGTAACTTCGAAGTACTTTGATGAAAATAGTGATCAATGGTGACTTAAGTTTAGCAGAATTTGGGGAATTAATTACATTAATAAATGTGTAGATTTTCATATAATTTCATTTAACTTTTTTATTCTTTGATTTCTGTATCAACTTGAAATAAAATTTAAAAGAAGAAAATTAGTAACTTGCACAAATATTAAACTTTGAGAAGAATACTTTTTGTGATTTACGTAAAACTAGATGTCGCCCGCTACTCTGTCCGCGCGGAATTAAAAAACTTAAATAGTAGCCTATATGTTCTTACAGACTAAATTTCAGCGAGTTCCATTCAGCCGTTCTGTAGATACCTTTAACATCAATCCATTCATCCATAGAATTATTCGCATTTATAATATTAGTAAGATTGTATGTGACTGTACACTGAACTAACAGACCATGTTAATCCACTCTTTAATAATCTAAATTATAATGATCTAAGATAGTTGAAGTAGTCTTTTGATAGAGCGTTTATTTTGTGACTATGAATTGCCAGGACTTATTCAATTTGACAAGTAATAATGGCTACTTATTGTTTGTGAAATTTTAACTTGTATTTAGACTGGGGCTGATTTACTGAGACCACTATCCTTGCATTGCTTACCATAAGCAGATAGATGACGTTATTGGAGACGAAGAATATATTATCTCTGAAGTTGATTAACCGTTGGATTTCTGAGACCCAAATGTCTGTATAAAATATATCGTCAACACTGTCATTATCTCGACAAAACAGAGGTAAGTTATCTCGGATAACAATATATGTTAAATGAGAATTTTGAGTAGACCGCTAACAGTAGCAACAACTAGTAGACCAACTGTTGCTCGTTTGCCTCCTTCTCCTATAAAAAATTGAAATGTAGAATGTCGACCTTTCCTTAATTTGTTTCTGATCTTCTTGAGGTGCTTCTCCGATTATCGGAGTTCGACGGTCCATATTTTTATGTCTTGAGCGAGAGCGAGAGCTGAGCGACACTCGCAAGTCCTGTCCACTCACGGCTGTTCGTTTGTTTTCATAACAACCTAAACACTTCTTAAGTATATTAACAGCGTACTTCATCTGTTTTTCCTTGCAATTTTGCATTATGTTATTCTATTTTAGCCCACGTCAAAAAGAAGGATGAAGGTTTTATGCGCGTTACCGAGTAATTCCAGTCTTGGTGGCTCTGATTTTGATTTTTTTTCATATTATTCTTGTATCTTTGTTGCATTTACGTTCCTAATCTAACATTTTAAATGAATATTTAGATAGTTGTTTAGTTCAAATATCTCCAAAATGGCAGAAAGGCCTCGATGAAATTTGACATACATATAGAACAAGGTCTGGAAGAACACAGAAGCTACTAAGTTTTTTTTTAATTTCGCGCGGATGTAGTCTCGGTCTAAACTTAGTTTTGTTTAAATCTAAGATATTAAATACCAGTAGGTCAGCGTTATTTAAACGATGCAAATGATTATATCTCTTTGTAAATATAATTTAATTTCTCTTAGTTGTGGTCATTCATTGTGTGTCAATATTTTGTCGATAGCGGTCCGGTAATTGCAATAAATTGCAAAATTTCACAATTGCCCCGGCCCCGCGCAATCTGCGCTATTAAATTTCTTTGATTCCTGTGACATTTGCTGATTAATTTTATGTCAATAAATGTTTAAAGACAATGTTATTAATGACTCAATTAATTTATAATTTATTAGCAATTGTGCAGAACTGATGATATGGTAGTTTCTCTCGCATTTGAAGGTCCAACGTATTTAGTAATACGTATTTTCAATATTCAATTGTAGGTTGTAAGCACAATTGTACGTTACAAGTATAGTCCGAGAGCGAGCTGCCTCGACAGCTGACGCAGACGGGGCCGCGGAGGAGAGCGAAAGAGTGCCCCTGGCCTGGTTCCGATACGTTGGAGGTTTAGTGGGTATGCCTCCGATATGGAGGAGAATCCCACATAACTAGCCGCGTCCCCACCGGGGTGCAGAGTATGCATAAAGCATTCCTCTCTGGAAAAAAAGGTTACAAGTATAGTATCGTATTATTTGTGGTCAAAAGTAAATCGGTATATTATTTTATTATTGAACTAAGTGTAAATACTCTATACACCGTTTTAAGGAAATTGCGCAAATGCATGAACGTTTTTACCGTTAAAGTTTAAATATTTTTTTTTACTTTGAAGAGAAAAAGATTAGTCCCCGTCGATTTCGGCTACGCTAGAAACGGTGAGTCACATCATAGGAACCGTTTAAAATAAACAATATTATTACCATGACTTTCAACTATTGAAACACGTAAAAAAACATGTTGCCATCCCGCTCAGATTCTTTAAAACAAAGAAAGATAACATCCATGGTTAGGATTAAATATATTTAGTTATATCTTATATTTGTGTTTGAAAGTTTATTTTTTATTTTATCAAATAATAAGAATAATTAAATAAAATACCATAAAGTTGCCGAAGCACGTTTACGCAATAAATTCTTTAACGTTCCGTTACGTGACAAACCGATACAGATCACAATACAGATGCGTTTTAACCTTAATTGCTTGTAGGTGGCAAACTAACTGACATGCGGACATCTATCAGATGTTACGGGGACAGGAAATTAATTAAAAAAAATGTAGCTGGTAAATAATGAATGATGGCCGAATATGTTTTGTTAATGAATTCATTCAGACGGATTCATTCACAAAATTATTCAAACTTTCGTGAGACATTATACTAAACTGATATATAAACACGGCTAAACACTCACGTATATTCGTCCGGTGGCGGCACCGACTAGTTTCGAGCCCATCGGGGGCCCTTCATCAGGATGAGTGGTACTGGTATTATTTCGCGGCGTGGTAAATAATACTAGTACCACTCATCCTGATGGGCCTCGATGGGCTCGAAACTAGTCGGTGCCGCCACCGGACGAATATACGTGATTGTTTAGCCGTGTTTATATATCAGTACATTCACAAAATGTTAAACTTCGACAATTTGTGAAAAAATTCATCATCGATTCCGCAAAGAGTTCGCATATTTCTTACAAAGAAATGACAGCCATTTTTTTGTACCATTCCAATTAAACATAGGATATGGTTTACGTTACGTATTTTCATTTACAATTTTCCTAGGCAAATTCTATACGGGCGGAGTTCATATTTTGCTGGTGACATAACCAGTTAGCGGTTGGAGCTTAGCGTCAAGCTTTCAATGAGTTTTTGGTTCTTTAATGCATCAATCACATGTTTGATGTGCATTACATAAGATGATTCATCTCTTGCGTCATTTATGCAAAGCTGAAGAAAATTTAAGAGTTTATACATTTTAATTGAAATTTCAATATGCGAACTACTTGAATATTTTTAACGTGTTATTTCTTAAATTTGACTCGTAATCACAAAAAACAAAATAGCATCAAGTTTCAATTAAATAAAATGATTACATAATTGTTAGCAACAAGCATATATCCTATGTTTATTGAGGTAAATGAAGTCGCGGGCAACTGTTAGTATTCGAAAGATCTGGTTTACACGTGCTAGCTTTGTTCCGGTTCTGTGTCAAATAAAATAAAAAAGCGGTTGACCGTCTCGGCTATTGCCACCATTTTTTGACGATCGGGCAAAAACTTTACAATACAATATTATAATAGAGATGTTTAACGATTTATTTAGCAATGAGATATTCGATTCATTGCGAGTTTTTTTTTATTTATTTCTTTTTTTTTTACTCTTTGTAGAAATAACTATTTTGGTGTTTAAAATTGCAAAATAATTTAACCCGAATAAGATTTACTCTAAAGCATATGCTTTTGAAAAAAGAGGGGTCTTTACAGACAAAGTGATCCTATAAGGGTTCCGTTTTATTCCTTTCGAGGTACGGAACCCTAATGAATGATTTAAATATATTTAACTTTAATAAACCTACTGTTTTAGTTGTTTTTATTTAGCTCTGGGTTTTACACATAAGATATACCGTTGAAGTATGTAGTAAAATTAATGTATCCCTTAATGAAGATTAAATGTTAGATTGTTGAATTCCAAATTTAAATGTATTTTCGTTTTATCTGATATTCACATATTTTTCAGCTGCGTTGTTAAATTCTTCTACTTTCTCTTGTATTTTTGCTATTTTATATTGCCAGTATTCGTTTATATCTTGCGCCGATCACATGATATTTAAGTAAGCTCTTTTGAAATTCTTTAAACTTTAAAATTGTATATAAATTTACATTAAACACACTTTTTTTCAAACTTTCTACTGTCCATGTGAATGATTGTAATAAGACAGTAGTTCCTTGATCCGACAGTCGACTGACAAGGCTCGTTCCGATTACTTCCAATTGTCTGCTCGCAAAAAGTTTTGTTTCGATCGGACCGAACACTTCGGTGACTCGTATCGTGTCATAAATCGATATTGCTCAGAATATGTCCGTTATTAAATTGCTTTGAATAATAAGTTTTATTACATTTTATACTGTTTGAAATAGGCATAATAAGCCTATAGTTATCTTACTTCTTACTGTATCTTACTAATGTTATAGAACCAAGTGTTTACATAGATGGTTGGGTGAATGTTTGTTTGAAGGTATCTCCAGAACGGCTGAACGGATCTCAATGAAATTTGGCATACATATAAAACATAGTCTGGAAAGAAATTTATTTTTCAACATTATTTAACTATAATAAATTATTTAATAAAACTAATTAATTAAACTACCAAAATAATACTATAAACTATATACTAAAACTAGTAGTACTATAGTCTGGATGTTCATATATGTTCTATATAGGTTACTAATTATTTTTTAAAATTCCGTGCAGATGGAATCGCGGGCGACAGTCTTTGAATAAATATTTGGAACACAGCTGTGATAAGTTTCGGCAGGAATTTCCCCATGTGAAAGGTGCGTTCCTAACAATGGCTTTCAGCAAGTTTATTAAGCAGGATTTGCAATACACGTGACACATGACAGCAGAGATATTTTCGTATTCTTTTACTAGGTAGAGGTTAAGTCTAGATAACTTACTTTTATTAAATATCAATACAATTTTACAATAGAAATGTTAAATATTTTTAAGGTTATATGAACCGTAGTGGTTTGTCACTAGTGTTAAACTAACTTATTGTTGAGCTTAATGTTTTTTAGTATTATATATTTAACCAAACCTGAGGCTAGTCATTCATTCATTTAGGAACGATATAACATGCCGTCCGCTCGTCGTACACATTTTTTTCAACTTATGAGTTAATCATTAATTCATACCATTTTTACCCGAATCCCAACCTTAGTGACCATCTAATGACAGAGAGTGTGGTATGTATTGTTAGGAAGAAAATCTGAAAATGTTGTCTTACTAAAATGCCGACGTTTATATCCCCTCACTTTTCATTCTGACACTGGGCTTTGCAACGAAAGCACGTCATTCGCGCCAAATGATTCTAACTTATACTGTATAAAAGTATGATACTGGCTGTGCAGAAAAGAATAAAACATTAATAGTAGAAGAAATTTATTTCATACCCATTTTGGTAAAATGTCATTTAACGCTCAAAATCCAACAGAACAAAAAATTGTCATACATTCGTGCTTAATTATAGTTCGTATGGTGATAATTTGCTGCACGATTTTCAACCCTAAGTGGGAAGCGAATTAAATTGTATTTTAAAGCATTTAAATTTGCTAATATCTCATTACATCAGGAAATAGAATCCAGTAACAATAAAAACGTCGAAGTGCCTCAATGTTACATAAAATGGTGTACATGTTTTATCGTAAGATCGCTAATAAAAGCTATGCAGAGCACGCGACGCGACAGAAGCCAACAATGGCTAACAATATATTTTAATGGGCATTTATTAAGTTGGCCGTATAATATCTGTGGTAGCGCGGCGGGAGGCTCAGATTATCTGCATCGTGCGCGCGCTACGAGATGAGTATCGTCACTACTGACACACACTTTTTGATTCAATCACGGACAAAGTACTTATTTAAAAACTGCCAAAAAAATTAAATTAAACTTATTTTCTTGAATACAATGCAAATGAAATTTAAGGGTCGATGACGAGAAATTTTATTTAAAAAAAATCTTGGCAGGCAGACGGACGGACAAAAAAGTGATCCTATAAGGGTTCCGTTTTTTTCCTATGATGTACGGAACCCTAAAAACGCTTTATTCTTTTACCTAGAACTTCATAAAATATGTGATATAGTCGGTTTTAATTATTTAAATGAATACTACGTAAGAATTAGAAAGTGGAATAAATCGCTTAAATATTTTCTTACATTAGACCTCACTGTCGACCGTCTATGCGTTCTAACAGGCTATGTTCTACATCTGTGTTAAATTTCAACGAGGTTTGTTGTGACATCCATTCATCCATCGATCCAGTTACATCCGCATTCATTTATCCACATTCGCATTTATAATATTGCTACGATAAACAGACTAAAAATATAAAGTTTTTTTTTTTAATATAGAAAAAAATAATCTAAATATTCCGAAATGTTTGCTAAGTTTGGTCACCCTGTTCCGTTGCATTCGGTATAATTCGGATGGTATCAAACACGATGACAATACTGCAGCAAATGCGATCACGTCTGCTCGTGTTCTTCTGACTTATCGTCTTCATTGCATAATGCATCTGTTTAGAAAGGCTCATTGTACTTAAGTTGGTTAAGCATTGACACTCTAGTAATATTAATATTTGATCTCATTTTTTTTTAACGACCCGGTAGTTTCCTCTCATAATTTATTGAAAGAAACAAACAGTAAAATTTAAAATATGAAAAAGTAATACCTAAAAAATTAAGTATACCGTTATTATCAATATGTAAATAACTTTACGCTTATTTTCCTAGAATTAAAAAAAACAGACATAAAGGTTTTAGTAGTAAGTAGTAATAAAGTAGTAGAGCAAAGATAATTACAAGTAGTACGTAGACTTTTACTAACAAGGGCCTAGAATGAAAAGTGAGAAAGTATTCGTAAAATTATCGCAAAAAGTATTAGATTT